GATAGATAGATAGATAGATAGATAGATAGATAGATAGATAGATAGATAAAATTCTTTATTGGCCAAGTGTGATTGGACACACAAGGAATTTGTCTTTGGTGCATAAGCTCTCAGTGTACATAAGGAAAAAATAAAATACATTCATCAAGAATCATAAGATACAACACTTAGTGATAGTCATAGGTTACTAATAAGCAATCAAATCATAAATAGAAAACGAATAAAACAATATAAATTTTAGAGATACAAGCAACACGGTTATAGTCATAAGTTGGAAGAGATAGGTAATAGGAAGGATGAGATGAATAATAGTAATATAGTCTTAGTAAATAAGTTGACAGTGTTGTGGGAATTAGTTGTTTAGCAGAATGATGGCCTTTGGGAAAGAAAACTGGTGTACAGTTTGCTAATGATCCTGTGTAAACTAATTGGATGGTCATTCAATTTTCTTCCCACTGTTATAGTGATTATTACTGCTGCCCCAATGTTCTGGTACGATTGCAATGAAAAAAGGTCAACTGATACGGGGTCTACCATTCTTACAGATAATTTCTGCTACTAGGTAATCATTGCTTGGTGCATTTTCTGGTTTAGGTTGCTAAACTTAATTTTTTAATTTCTGAAGTTGTTACTGGTAGCTATCGGGAAGAAGCATTCAGATCGGTTTGATTTGGCTTGCTTTTTCTTTATGTATTAAGAGAACTAAAATGTCTCTCAGATCCCAGCTGGAATTGTAAAAGTGGGGCAAAGTGGCTGTTTTAAGGATAGAGTTGCCAGAGTGGAGTGGAGTTTCTGGCTTGAGTAGCTACTATCAGAAAGTTCTGACCGTTTCTCTTGTCTTCCCACAAAGCAATTGCTTATAATACCTTCTCTTGTTAATAGGACATGGTTGCAGAATATTCCTGATATTTATTAAAAAGCCAAATCAAGTCTTCCTTTGCTTCCAAGCAATCTACATCAAGCTAGCAATTTGATTGAAATACCCTTTGGGATTGAGGATGATCCAGGATCAGGTTGGAGTCACTGAAGAAGATAAAGAATAGTGGCAAATAATTGACACACCTGCACCATTAATTTTGATGTACTGACTTAGAATTTCAGATTTTAGTATGTGTTTCTTCCTGTTACGATAATCCACTTGATCCAAGTAGAGCTGAGTCCATCTTATCCCAATGCTTAGGACAAGCAATTTGTTAGGCACCTGCAAGATTAACATTCCCAGGATATGATCTCTGTCAGGCCAGCTCAGTATAGAAAAGCTCTATATGAAGGGTATTGTAGTTTGTGAAACTCCATAGTCTATTAGTTAAAATCTCAATGCTAGTCCTGTGGGACAATTCTGTGGGATAGTTAGTAGATGTTGAGCAATTCACCAAGGTTAGATTCAGTTTGTAGAAAACCTAAAGCAAGCAGAGCCTACATAATCTTTGGACTGATGAATAAAAAGTGGAAGAACTGGGGTCAGTAACTTCTGTCAATGTATCCCATTTGGCAAAGGGGAAAAATATATTGCTTTATTTTATTGCAACATAAGGTAACATATGAACAAGCAATACTCTGTTGGATTGAATCCATCTAGTCCATCTGCCTGTTCTCAGAGTGGCCAACCAACTGCACAAGGAAGCCTGCAAATATCCTAGCAAATGGTCTTCAAAAAAGCCACGATATCAAGGCTTGCTTTCCTGTGACTTTCAGGAATTGGTCCAACCCCTTTTTTTTTTCTGAAGGCAGTAAGGCTGATATCGCTACATCCCATGGTAGCAGATTCCAAAGTTTAATTATATGTTGTTTAAAACTTTTTGTTCTTCCAGGATTCAATTTTATTGGTTGACATCAATTATACTAATCTGGGAAGGAGAAATTAACTTCTTCTTGGCTATTTTATCCACACCATGAAAACCTTTGTACTCTTTAACTGTCCCATTTGCTTGCTTTCTATACTAAAAAAACTCAAATATTACATTCTTTCCTCTTAGAGAGATTGCTCTAGCCTCTTGGTCATCTTTGTTGGAGTCTAAACCCTTTCAAATTCAGCAGACTTTTCTAACTCTGCAAACAAAACTAATAAATAAATCTCCACCGTATCCTTTTTGAGACACAGTGACAATATTCCCACAATATATGCCCACAATATTCCAGCTGTGACCAAATAATTCATTAGGTGGAAATAGACTGTGTTCACAAGTAATGCTGAACCATAATTTGATTAATCACTATGAAAGTACAGAAATATTATTGTATGGATCATATACACAAGAGCATAACCTATGTACCATATCTTGGTGTTGCCATTGGATTGATTAGATGTCATCTGTATGTTTTGCCTTCTCTCAATTTGATCCTGTGCATCTCTTCACTTTTCTGAGTCAGAACACTCTTGAAAATAAATACAAATTATTAGTTTCCACAATAATAGCAATAGCACTTATACTTACTGGTATATACCACTTCACAGGGCTTTAAAGCCCTCTCTAAGTGGTTTACAGAATCAGCATATTGTCCCCAAAAATCTGGATCCCTATTTTACCAACCTTGGAAGGATGGAAGGCTAAGTCAGTCTTGAACCTGTGGGAATCAACTCCTGGATTGAGCAGTGAGGTAGCCTGGAGTACTACATTCTAATTGCTGCACCACCACGGCTCTTATTTCTAACAGCACTTTCCAGTGTATATTTACTTGCCCTGCTCCATTTTTCTTACATTTCTGCTATTGAAAAGAACTTATCCTCACCTGGTAGCAAGACTTTTCCTATTTCCACATCTGAAGATAGATATGATTTGCTGTAAGTGAGGCATATGAGGGGACTATGCATGTTCATGTGGGGCACAGGTTATTATTATCAGCATCGTAACAGTCACCGTTCCTATTGCAACAATGAATCTCCTACATTGCAGCAATTCTTCCTGATTCAGAACTAGTCATGCTGCTTGCTGGTTTTTAATGGCAGTAGCAGTAGCACTTAGACATAGTGCTTGACAGTGGTTTACAGAGTCAGCATATTGCCTCCAACAATCAGGGTCCTCATTTTACTTACTTCAGAAGGATGGAAGCCTTGAGCTGGTCAGGATCGAAGGAATTGAACTCTTGGCAGTGAGCAGAGTTA